AGAGAACCATAAAGATGACCCCAATTAAGAATCTAGGCAGTAGTGGAGAGGCCACCTTTGATGCCCTTCCTCTATGATGAGATTGATGACTACCTTAATTGCCATCCTAGAGCCTTCACCCAGTAGCTGATGGAAGCAGAAGCAGACACCCACAGCTAAACACTGAACCATACTCCTGGAATTCAGTTGTTGGGGGTGGGGGAGGGAGCAGGATGAGCAAAGCAGTCAAGACTGTGCTGGAGAAACCAACAAAAAAAGCTGACCTGAGCAAGTGAGATAACATGGATCCCAGTCCTAAAGCTGGGGGTGCCACTCAGGAGGCCTGGGATGTCCATGGGGCATCCAACAGTGGAACTGGTATTTATCCCTAGTGCACAAATGGACTTTGGGAGCCCGTTCCCTATGAAGGGTTACTATTTCAGCCCAGATACCCTATTTCAGCCTAGGCCCTTCCCAGATGATGTGAAAGACTTTGATGATCCCCCATGGAAGGCCTCATTATTCTTGGGGAGTGGGTAGGGGGATGGGTTGGGGGTTCGATAGGAGGCATAGGAGGATGAGAGGGAGAGGGAATGGGGGATTGATATGTAAAATAAGAGTGTTTCTAAATTAAACAAAAGAAGAAGAAGGAGAAGAGGAAGAGGAAGAGGAAGAAGAAGAAGGAGGAGGAGGAGGAGGAGGAGAAAGAGGAGGAGGAGGAGGAGGAGGAGGAGGAGGAGGAGAAGAAAACACACACCCTGGGCATGTCTTTGAGGGTATTTCTAGAGAGGATTCACATAGGAGGGAAGATCCCTAAAGCTTGTGGTATTACCCCATGGGATAGGGATCTAGACTCAGTGAACACTCCAAAAGATTGCCAGATGAGTACCAACCAACTCTTCATTCATCCAGATGTGAGAAAACAACCTCATGCTCTTATGGTTATGCCTCCTCTATCAAAATGAACACGACCCTCTCAAACTATGAGCCAAAATAAACCCTTCATTCCATATGTTGCCTACTTTCAAATATTCCATAGAATATAGAAAGGAGAAAAGTAATTTATGCTGCGTTGTTATTCATGATAACCACCATGTAGTATAATAAGCATTTAAAAAAATAGTCATGTCTAATGGATATTTGGTATTGTTTGATTGAGATATCTCCAATGCCCTCTCTCAGCAAACAATTTCTGGTAACTACTACTCTTTGCTTCTGTTTTAACTTTTCAGGTCCTGCATATAAATGAGATCATTTGATTTCTGTCTTTCAGTGTCTGGCTTATTGCACTTAAGGTAATAGCTGCTTAATATAATGTGCGTATTCTTGTATTATATACATGTACTGGTTAATTTTGGTAAACTTGGCATAAACTAGAATCATTTTGGAAGAGGAACTCTCAACTGAGTAAATGCCTCAATAATATTAGCCTATAGGCAACTCTTGTCAGTCATTTTCTTGATTATAGATTGATCTGTATCAGTTTTGGGTGGTGCCACCCCTGCATATGACACAGAAAGCATGCTGAACAATCCATGGAGAGCAAACCAGTAAAGGACATTCACCCATAGCTTCTGCACCTTTCCTGCCTGACTTCCCTGAATGATGGGCTACAAGCTATAAGAAAATAAACCATTTCCTCCTGAAGTTGCTTTTGGTCATGGTGTTTTATCACATCAATTAAGCATTAACTAAGGCAATATGGCATCATAGTAGTATGATATCTAGAATGCATATTTGTACATGAGTGTTCCATTAAGTGCACATGTATCATACACAGGTACTGTAGCATATGTGTGTGTAATGTTACTTTTTAAAAAATAAGTTGAAGCAGATATAACTTTTAATATATCCTAAATAATTTATGATTTGGGAGGTAGGTGCATACTGAAGAATAATGGGACTTAAACCCCAAATTTATGTAGGAATTTCTAACAAAAGGTACTATAAAAAGATTAAATATTTTCCCTTTCATGACTCTTTTGTATTTTTTATGCTGTCTGATGCATATATTGATGTTTTTAAAAGCCTGCATTGAGTGGTGTGTTGCATATTTAAATAATTGTTTCCTCATTTTCTGTATTGTCTTCCTTTTGTTTGAAAACATGTCGTATAATCACATAAAATGATTAAACTATAATATTCTTCAAGAAGAACAAGGTTTCAACATGACTACTAAACATGTTTAACCAGAAATGAAGTATGATTTGACTATAGCCTATAGAAAAATTAATCCACAACTCATTTGGCTGAGAGATCATTTCCACTCTTTCTCACCCAGATTCTCTGAATGAGACTAAACAAGAGCTACAGTGACTAAAACAGCCACAAGCAGTTTGGCATCCATATCCTGTCTTGTCAGTGCACAGAGGGGACATTGGTACCACTGTAGAAAACTTGGCTTCTTAGCCTGGTTGAAGGGGAGCAGCTGTTATCCTCTTCCAGATAAACTGACACGGGAGGGTATACACAGTGCTAGTTAGATAGAAATTCACTCCTCTTTCCACCTAGCTCTCTCAAAACCAAAAACACTCTTGGAAAGGTCCAAATCGTAATGTGTTTTGGATACAGTATCATTTCTAACTCTTACGATAAATTTTGCCCTTCAAAAAGTCAAGACAATAACTTTTAAAACCTTTACCATGTGCATCCAGTTCATATCTTTATATCCAAGTGGTCCTTGTACTTATTTACCCCAAACACATTTAATATCTGAAATATCAGTCAGAACACTTACAACTTCAGCTCTATTTTTCATTTATTTAGAGCAGTATTTATAAGAAGAATAAATTTTAAGCACAATGAAGAAAGCAACATAATTATGAAATCTTGTACATGAAGCATCACAGTCCAAAGTAAGTACATTATGGTATAATTTATATTAAAAATATTCAAGGAAATAAAATACATTAGAACCATAAACCCTAATTATACAGGTTTCTTTCCAAACTTGTTTTTCAAAGATAACCGAAGGCAAATGCAATGCAGAAAATTTACAAACTACTGGGATATTTTTACCAAGAGAATATTCACTCTTACAATAAAATAAATGAAAAAAATACTCTATTAAAATGTCAGACTAATCAATTTTAATAGTTACATTAATACCTTTACACGCCAAGTCAGAAATTCAAACCCATGATTTCACCATGAAGTCACTGACTGCTTTTGTCTAGTTCTTGTATAATATTCATATTCTAAGGAATGAGCTTGGATCCGAGCAAACACTGGGAAACAAAGCAGACATGATCCTGCCCGCATGGAGCTTCCAGTCTAGTGGGACATAGACTACTACAATACCGTATGAGCAGCTTTGGACAGTGGCTTCCATTCCAGAGGAAGCAACAGCTGAGCCAAGATCTGCAGTGTTAGGGTGAGATAATCAATGGGAGCAGGGCATAGGGAGTAAAAAAAAAAAAAAAAAAAAAAAGAGCTTCAGGGAGAGGGTGATGAGACCTAAAGATCCTGAGGTTGGATGGGGACCACTGACTTGTAGACCAGAGTGGTGTTTTGCTTGTCAGTGAGGAGAACAGTATGGTCAGTCGTTTCAAAGCTAATGTCAATCCATTTTAAAAGCTGAGCTGACCACTATCTTGTTTTCTAGCATTTAAGAAATAAACCCCCTTTAAAAATGAAATGGTGATAATAGATGGCATACTTAATAATAATAATAATAATAATAATAATAATAATAATAATAATAATGAAGACCTTATTTTTTTATTAATGAAACAGAAACTCTGGTCTTATAAAACTATAAAACCTGGGAATCAATATAAAAGTCAAGTAACAATGCCACTGCTAAGGGGCGTGGGGGGAGATGCAGACAGGCTAGAGAGGAAGGAGATAGTTAAAGCATGGAGGCCATGTAAGAACTCCAGATTTACATCCCACAAAAATGGGAGTGATTTTCTGCAAGGGAATGAGCTATGTTTAAGTCTAGGAAAGATCATTCTGGAATGCTGTGTGTGTAGTAGACTCCGTGAAAGACGAAGGCACGCCAGCCAGATAAGCAGCACTGTATTGTCTCAGGAAAAGGAAGATCACAGTGAGCTGTAGAGTGGAATTTGTGGGACTGAATAGGAAATGGTAGCTTTACGAGAGAAACTCACTGGCATTTGGTGAGTTGGCATGCTGGGTGAGCAAATGGGGTGGCGGTGGCCGAGACTGATGTCAAGTCTTTTTTGTTTGGAAACTGAATCGATTGTGCTAATATTGAACTGCCGAATGTGAAGAGAAGTCTTTCATGAAGGAAGGATTTGAGGACATGTTGAATTGAAGGTATCTTTGTGTTTAGATGTCTGTCAGGTCTGAAGCACAGGAGACTTAAAGGTTGAACTTCTTCTGTCCCCAGCAATATGATTATAACCATGCAAGTGAATGGGGTTTCCCAGAGAGCACAGCATGACCCAAAAGAGCAGAGGACATGTCACTAGAGGACTGGAGGAAGAGGAACAGCATAAAGAAGCAGAGACACAGGCCAGGGAGGAGGGCTGAGAGGGCAAACAGTGAGATAGCCCTATGAAGGAAACCAAGGAAGGTACAGGAAATGGAGTCAGATGCTGCAAGAATCAACAGGAAGAGGGAGTGAAAGTTGTTTTTCAAATTTAGCAACAAAGAAGTTGTTAGGGACCGTGATCTGAGGAGGGCTCAGAGGAAGCCAGGTCACAGGTGAATCTACAAGTACGCAGGTGCTTTTCTAGAACAATAGAACAGGGTTCTAACAATAGAACTGGGCAACAGCTGGCAGATACATGCAGGGGTCTGAGAAAGTGGTTTCTTGCTGTTTCGCCTAGACTCTCAATCACTGACATTCAGTTGATAGGGAGAATTTGAAGACCTGTAACAAGTGAAGACGGTCAACAGAAATTCAAATACAGGATATTGCTTATCTTAGCAACCTAAAAGTCTTTAGGGGTGTCCTTGTTCTTCCCATAAGGACAGGACACAACTACAAAATTCTCAGCGGATTTGGATACACTTAAGAATATAAAAGATTCCAATGACTTTTCTAGGGGAAATCACATTTTAAAGTACTTTAAGAATCACATTTTAAAATATCATTTTTAAAAGTTATGTTAACTTTAGCTGTTGTCCGTAGAGATCATATTCTTTAAATAGTAAGTATCTTCGAATCGCTGCTGGGAGAGGGAGTTTCTCCATGGAGGCTGGCTGGCAGAGTCGCTCAAGTCCCATAAGTCTGCGGATTTTTAACCGGCACAGATGCCTTAGTGAGCAGGGATTCTCTGAAAGAAATGGGAAAACAAGCAGGAAATTCAGAAGTCCATTGAAGATACAGATTGCTTCAGAGTAGCATGAGGAATGTTATTTGGAAAACACACACATCAGCAGCTGATGGTTATGACCCAATTTGCATTTCAATTAAGTACCCTAGCCCTGTGCTCATGATCTGAGCTCCAAGAGGATGGGAGTTCCATTTGCATCTGTGCCAGGAGCCAAGCATGGCTCCCAATGGGTGTCCAACTACAGTTTGTGAACAAAGGGATTTGATTTTTAAAAGCAAATGGTCACATATTTCTCATTTTTATAGCTAAATATTATACAGACATATTTCTTTACTTCCCCTCATTTCTATTAGTCTTTCTGATGAATAATTATCAATAAAACATCACTACATGATTTCATAAATCATTCACAAATCAGATGCTTGTTTCCTGTGTCTGCTACATAACATACTAACATTTACATGTCTGTTGATATGTAAATATATTTATTTAAATCTTCTTTTATATTAGACCCAGTGAAGAGGCAGCAATTACAAATACACAAGTAAATGTTGGCCCTGGACCCAGTCAGCTGAGATTAAGATCCTGCCTATGTTATTTTGTGTGACCCTGCACAAGAGACTTAACCCATATCATTAGTATTCTCATTTATACAAGGTACCTCCTATAGAGGATCGACTGAGGCTAAATAGTTCATGTAAACAACTAGAAAAATCCTTGATACACTGGACCATAACATTCAACAAATGTTATGGGAGAGAGGAGACGGCTCAGTAGGTAATATATTTGCCATGAGAACATAGAGCTTTGAGTGGTATCTCTGGAACCAATGGAAAAAGTCATGGTGGTGCATGCTTGTAACCCTAATGCAAGGGAGGCAGTAACAGACTAGAGTAGGATGCATAGCAAAACTCATCTCAAAAATACATTAGGACGTTTTCTAAAAACTTGAGGCAAAAATATCATCAAAGTAGGCACCCTCCCACGTTTTAATAGAACAGCAATTTTATATTGTTCCTTAACAAACCAACCACCTTTCTATAGCTGAAGGAGCCCTGACATCCAGTGGTTAGCAGGCTCACAGCAACCAGCCAGCTAGCTGGTTGCTGAAGTAAACTATTGAAATAGCAGAAAAGAATCCCAAGTTCAATCTTACCTGCAATATCTTTCTAAAAGCATCACAACTTAGAATTCATTTGCCATAAAAACACATGGGCCATTAATTCTCATTTCCTAGCAAAATCCATGTTCCTTATGACAGAAATATCAGTGATTATTGCAGAAAAAGCCCTATGTTACCGATTGAGATAAACAAGTCACAAATCCTGACTTTGTTGCTCCCCAGGCCCAATAAATAAATAAATTTATGCTTTAGCGGTGTTTCATTTTTAAATAGCCAAACCATTTAAGCCTTTTGGATTTGAAGTTTTCAAATATGAGACTACCTACATACATGCATGGTTTCATAAATTACAAATGTCAAGTAGATGAGCATCTCTGACTACCTCTCAGGTTATGAAATAGAACTTTGTCAGCCATAGGGGATGCTTGCCCAACCTTGCCAACCTTCACTCTTCCTTCTCCTCCAAATCACCATAATTCTCATTTGTAGAGCAATCACCCATTTTTAAAGTTTTGTCATCTAAGTGATCTGTCCTTACACTAATTATATGATGGATAAAAACTGTGACCATTCTGCCCTGACTTCCAAATACTGGGATTACAGGCATAAGTCACCAAGGCTAAATTTGTTTTAATATTAAAAGGATGTAATTTGAAATGTTATAATCAAATAACAAAAATGGGATCAACTTTTATTGTTGAGGAGAATAAGTCCTACCATTTCTTTTTATTGTGTTTGTGTTTGTATGCCTATATTGTTGTGTTTGCGTGTGCATACCTACATTGTTGTGTTGTGTGTGTATGCCTACATTGTTGTGTTGTGTGTGCCTTCATTGTTGTGTTTGTGTGTGTGTGTGTACCTACATTGTTGTGCTGCGTTTGTGTGCCTACATTATTGTGTTTGTGTGTGTGTGCCTACATTGTTGTGTGTGTGTGTGTGTGTACCTACATTGTTGTGTTTGTGTGTGTGTGTGCCAGAAGTCTCAGCATCAGCTGTCATTCCTCCAGGGCTTTCCTATATCTGGAGGATTAGCCAATACCCTTTAAATATCTTTTGATCTTCAAGCTCTTTTTCTATCCATCTTTTTAATCACATCACTGGACCACTGAAGAATCCAAATGCCTATGTTTTCCCATGGCTGGAGTAGTGTAGCTCTATGTCCTATTGTCTCTTTCAGTTTTTGGAAGGTGGTAGTTGGATCCAGAGATTGAGCATTCCTATATCTGATCTATTTGGCAAATGCTTTTCTCTTGTCTGGGACCTCTATAATATGATGATGACAATAGCTGAGGTGTAACAAACATACCCTTCTATTTATTCAGGGTATGAAATGATAGCTATGTAAATTTTCATGTATTATTTGAGGCATTTTCATGAAGAGTTTTTGCTCATCTATTTTGATTATTTGGGGCATGTATACTTTAAACAAGGCAGGATAAATGGCTTACATGTTTTGTTTTGTTTTTTTAATTTCAAGGTAATTGATTTTCTATAACTCCTTTGGAATGATCATTTTTGGTTTTAAGGTTTCATGCATTTAGACATTTTGGAAATATTTATGTTACTCATTGGAACTACTGTGTTTTTAAAACTTGAACGGTCCTCTTTGGCCACTGAGAGTTTCTTCAAGTTGGTGCGTGGACTCTTCTGAGCCCATTCTGGTAGCCACTGAGTTTGTTGGCTGCCCGAGGTGAGCAGATGCTCCAGACTCATTCTGCTGCATTTCCTTCCTCAGGAAGGGACCCACCATTTACAATTTCTTTTTGAAGGTATTGGCATAACCACACCAAATTCTGTGTGAGAGGGATGCTCGGAACTACTATGGTCATTGCTAATTGTAAGCTTTGCTAAAGCTAGACACACACACTCACAATCACATTCTCAGCCACACGTAAATAATAAACAGAGATAAAAAACTTAAACTAAAGGAAACATTTGCTTTTACCTATTATTTGCCGGATTTCTGGCCATTCTCTCTGCACTTCTAGCACAGACTTCAGTTTTGCACACAGGGGGACATAGTCCATGTAATCTATTAGTATACGGACAGTGCTGCCCACCAGGTGCTTCATCCACGGAACCGTAATAAACTCACAGAACTGAGAAAATTGATAACAGTTAATGTAGCGATACTTTTAATATACACATAAGCAGTATTGCTGTAAAAAGTTACTCTTCATCTTGTTACAGGAAAGAAAATTACTCCTGCTTATGATGAACAAAAAATGAAAAGCTGTCACGATTATTTCTTTGAAATAATAATGCTAAATGCATATTGATGGTTCTCTTTGGATCAAAGTGAACATGACATGAGAGATCCAAGCCTTTTCCCTCTAGCGCCATTATCCCACCAACTTGACACAAGTGAATAATTGCATGCATTTGAAAACTGTTTGACACTATTTCCAATCCAAGAAAAGAGATAGCCTCATTTCTTGGCCCATTTTTGCTTATCTATGTATAATAAGAAAAAGCATATAAATTAAAATTGATTTTTTTCTTTGCTTGTAACATCCTTAAGTGAGTGAAACTTTATGATTTATATGGTAGATTATATATTTTACTTAGAACATAGAACATCTTCCAGTATAGATTATACATTGGGCTATAAAACAAGGCTTAATGCCTCTAATACCAAAGTCATTCAATAATATTTAATACCACAGTGGTATATATCAAGGAATCAGTAACAGGAAGAAATGTGGAAGTTTAAAAGTAAATAAAAGTTAAGCAACATACTCTTGATCAACTTTGGGGGAGTCAATTAACAAATCAAAAGGGTTAAAAGATCAGAACTTGGAAGATTTCTTGAGACAAATATGAGTTAAGATACCAACCCAAAATGAAGGAAAAGATGCAAACTCACTGGGTTATCTTTTATGATACAAGATGTCCATCCTGGCAGTACCTCCTCCTCTAAATCTGACCACACGAACGAATTCCCAAAGATGTCTCCGTGCATGCAGTCAAAGCACAGTTCCACTTGGTAGCCATTATTCAGCAAGAGCCTCAGCATAACCTCATCATTCAGGGCATACTGGATGGCACTTGGAAAACGAGTGTCATTCACATGCATAAAATAACAATTGACGTTGGCCCCGTAGCAGAGGAGCAGCCGGACAATTTCATGGCTATTGGCCCTCACTGCCACAAGTAGACAGTTGAGGGGATCTAGGTTGGGGTCTGCACCTGCAGCCAGAAGGACTTCTGTGCAGTGGATGTCATTGTTAGAGACAGCAAAATAAAGTGCAGTCTTTCTCTCATCGTCGTAGCTCTGGGAAATGTGGTCAGCAAGTAAGGCATTGACATCAAAACCATTATCAATGAGCAGTTCCAGGCACTGGGCATTTTGTCCATCTGCTGCTGAGTGAACTGGGGTTAGGCCACTTTTCCGGATTGCGCGTTTGGATGTTACTGGGATGAGATATTTCAGAGCACTAGAGCAAAGAAACAACTCCTTAAACACACCCATTGCGTAAAGAAAATCAAGCGAGCAAATAAAACTTTCTCGTTAGGTAAGTGGATTCAGCTGGTTTACTTTTCCATATTCCCTCCATGTGAACCTGCATGGACTTGTTTAGCTTTTACAAATCAAGATTCTCCTGTTTAATATAATTTAGTTGAGTTTTAATTTAGATTCCCATTCTAGAAATTCCCAAGGAACAGCCTGCGATCTTGTGTTTGGTTCTAGGTTTGAGTCCTTAGAACTCTCTCCACTTTACAATTCTGTCTCCAAACAATAAAAATTTGTATGATCAATGGGTGCGATTGTAAAAATGCCAAAGAGAGCAAGCTCCTCTGATGGCATAGAAATAAATGCACTACATAATTCTGACCATTAGAAACCAGGTAGTCTTGGCAAATGATCTTGGACAGCATCAATACAACCCTTTCAGTTAAAGATGAGCAAAATGGAGGCTTAAGAGGGAGCATGACCTATCCAAGGTCCTAAGTTCCATTTGATTCTTATTACTTCCTTTTCATTGATACCTAAGCCATCTATTAATATTGCCCATGTTTTTCTCTCTCCTATGCAGCTCACAAGTGAATTCTTAGTGAAAAGAAGAATCTTTAAGATTTGATCAAACTCCATCCAGACGAAGTAACTGTCCATAGCTCATGTTTCTAAATACATGTGATGAATACTTGTGAATTTCACACTCCACTAACCATTTAGACATCCTCGAGAGCCACAAGCAAGGATAACTTGATCTCTTGTGCCTAATTCAGAGCTCTCATGTGTGAATTTATGAACGCTGGGAGTAAATCCAGGTAAACTTTAACAACATGTCACTTCGCATCAATTATGTGTCATTGGCCCCTTAACTTTGCCAGTAAAGACTAGCGACTTCAAAGCTTTTGAACTTATATTCTTAAGTTTTATCTCTTGGTGGATAATTTAATATTATGATTCTAGACTTCTATTACTGTGTTGGTTATGACATACTTTTTGGTTGGAAAAAGTCCACTCAACTGTTTGTGTGGCAAAAAGAAATGTATAATGAATCTTTTCTATCCAGAGGTGTATTTGCCATATGGTATTATGTACATATGACAATGACAAGAAATAACTGGAATAAAACACAGTATCCTTACAGATTCTAATGCTCAGTCAATGGCAAAATGTTTAGAAACTTTATAGCCATTTGTTGAAGCATATTTTTTTAACACAGAAATACATTCTTGCCAGTTGGTAAATGAAAGAGGAAAAGCTATCAAGTCAACTCTAAGCATTCAAATATAAAAAGTGTGAGTATTTCCCTTTGAGACTTGGGGAGTATCATATGTTATGAGATTGTACTGTAACACACATGCAACTTAGTATTTTACTCACAGGTAATGTCCCTCATAGGCAGCTCGGTGTATTGGAAGATGTCCTGCTCTGTTTGGCACATTGCTGCTTCCTCCATATTCCAGCAGGAGGGAAATACAGTCAGGGTTTCCACCTCCTGCTGCCTCGAATAACACAGATGCCCCATCATCCGCCAAAGCAAACACATCACCACCTGGCAGTGTAAAGCATGTGGCTTAGATGGCTGAGTAGTGTTAAGTTAGTCTGTTAAGGTCATCTGTCATCTTCCTTTCTGGTTAAAGCTTGACAATATAGACTTTTGACCATCTATGTTTGGTTTTGGTTTGCTTGCTTTTGTTGTTGTTGTTGTTTTTAATAGTTTCGACAACAGCTAGGCAACATCTTTCATTTTATTATACTTTCAGGGATAGGTAGTCACAAACGCACAATTGAATAAAAGTCAGCTGCTACGATGATGGGTGCATGCTGGCAGAATTATGATCGTGAGACTTTAATTTGGTGACAATAGGTAGCACTCTTTCAATCCAACAAATATTTACAGACACCTAGGAGATATAAACACTACGTGCAACCCTAAGCTGAATTAGCCTGACTGAAGGAGCTTAAAGACCAAGTGAAGATGTAACTAGAGGACATTCAGTATAGACACTGGAGTGACAGCTTTGGCAGGAGCACACTGTACGGGAAGAGAGATCTTTGATTGTAGATCTGCTGCGTACTTCACTGGGACAGGGTTTTTATGTGTCTCTATTTCTTCTTCTGTTAGTTAGCATATTTCTAGGGGCTATGGGATAATTCAATTAAGTTGCTTTTGGAAGGCAAAAATGCCAATTTTCACCCATACAAGATCCTTTGGGAATCATGTGGCTGACTTATAGACTAGGAATCTGGGGCTGGGCACTTAAGTAGCCAAGGGTCTCATAAAGAGGAGGTGAGCTTCTTCATTCTTGGTTGTAAACTTGAAGTGTTTGGGGTCTTGGGAGGGAGGAATGACACTATCTGTTGGAGAGACTTAGGGAAGAATTTATGAAAATGTCTCAAGAGACTGACTTTGAATTTTGCTGAATGTGATTCCAACTGAGAGCAAGCATCTGACCCAAATGGAGGCAGAGAGAACACTCATATTCTATTTTACTGGAGTGGGACACACAGGATTGGAATAGTGAAGTATAAGCCTGAAAAAACAATTCTAAGTTACACAGTTGCAGTGGTGTTTTGAGTAGAATACATTATTGAGGTTGTACTTGAGGGAGAGGAACTAAGTTATAGTACATAATACGGATTCTCTGACAGGCAAAATGGAAACCTGGAGAATTGTTAGCAAATGCTTACATGGTCCAGGGAAGATGGGAAGGACCTGGCCAAGATGATAGGCAACATGAACACAAGAGCAACTTTGATATTTGGCAACCAACTGAGTTTGGAAAGAAAGTGATAGAAGATTTACAGGTAGATCTAACCCGCCCAGTCCCAGTTAAGAGAGACCATGACATCAACAAGTGGCAAAAGAGGAGGAATTCAGTAAAGATGACAGTAAAACCCTTGCCATCAATCTGCATGGAAAGTAGGCTGTCTGCAAAAAGCAATTAGGGCTGGTCATACAGACCTCTGCAAATCACAGTTAACAGGGCTTCAGTGGTGGCTTTAGGGTTTAATGAGGGGGTAGGATTTAAAGGCTCGCCCAGTTAAATTCAGTAGAAAGAGCCCATGGGCAATGAAGAGGAGAGTCTGTGATCAGGGTAAAATAACTCATTTCACATACCTTTGTGGATCAGATGTTCTAATACATCATAGTGACCATACTCAGCAGCGACTCCTAAAGGTGTGACTCCAAATCCATCTCTCAGGTGAACGTTGCCGCCTTGGCTCAGTAATAGGGCTATAATATCTTTTCGGCCTTGCTTAGCTGCCTCATGCATTGCTGACCATCGCTTGACACAGGGTTGGTCAAGGCTGGTATTGTATTTAATCAGTGCAGATACCATATCATAGGAGCCATTTTTTATAGCTTGAAATAATTTTTAAAAAAGAACAGGAATATTATTATGAAGTTGTCATATCAACATGAGTACTTTATATGGAATTAAACTAATATAAAAATAGGTATAAGTTATTCTATTTCTTCTTTAAAAGGATATTATATTTCTTAAACACTTTCTTTTTGTTGAAATTTCTATTTGTGAAGTTTAAGTCTTCAAGAAAAAGAGTGGGGTAAGAATCTCATTAAAAATGTTCAACTTCAAGAACATTTGTATACTCCAAACCTCAACCAATTTTCTAAAAAAAATGGGAACATACTATACAAATTAAATAATGTATGTAAACCATTTAGTATAGTACCCAGTATAAAATATGAACACAATACATGATTCTTAGTACCAGCATCCTATCTAGAGCTCTGGTGCTCCCATAGAAGCACAAAGTATTTTCCCCACCAAAGACAGTATTTGTCAACATATTGTATTTCAGACAATCAACAGATGAAGAACTGGACCCTGCCTCAGATGAGGGAGGTAAAATTCATGTCCCATGTGTTGATACCTGTCCATTTGCCACTGTGGTTCTAACTGTGGTGCATTACCTCATGCTAGCTGGTCTCACTGCAGAGAGGAGTGAGCCTGATTTTAATCTTAGTGCTACTGTTTCAGGTTTAAAATGTTTTTTTTTTTTGGGGGGGGGGGAAATCTCACAATAATGATGCTTTCCCATTTAGGATGCCACCCTTCTGCTTCACTCGAGAAAAATGTTGGTAGAAAGATTAACTTCTTTATGAAAACAGCAGTGTATGCAGGGAGTCTTCAACTTAAAGCAGTTCCTTAAAATTTTCACTTATTTCATACTGTGGAAGAATGCATTTTCCATAGAAATACTGATGCCAATAGTGGGGAGTCATCATCTTTCACAGATAATCTAAATCAGTTGTTCTCAACCTGTGGGTCATGACCTCTTTAGGGCTCATATATCAGATAGCCTGCATATCAGGTGTTTACTTAACAATTAAGAATAGTAGTAAAATACAGTTATGAAGTATCAATGAAATAATTTTATGCTTTGGGGTCACCACAACATGAGGAACTGTATTAAAGGGTTGCAGCACTAGGAAGGTTGAGAACCAATGGTCTAACCAAATAACCAATTGAAGTAATTAATGTTATTAGTTTAATATAGTTGATAATAAAATATGAACTTATATATACAGTTTTATACTTAGTCTTTTATGTATGCTTTACATACAAGTTCTATAGAATTTGGAAACCACCAATTTAGAATGGTTTAGTATTACTTAAGATTTTCTTGGAAATTTGTGGTTTTCTGGCATTCCATTTTTTATTTCTAATTTGTCACTTTCTCCCTTTTTTCTGAATACACGGATTTCATTCATGGAATTTACATAGTAGCTCTGGTGATTTCCTGACTCATAAAATCACAGGGATGGGAGCTCTGAGACATCTGGACACAGACTGGATAAGTAGGAGAGGAAACAGCCTGGGAGGGTGTGCTTTGATTTGAGAGACAGGAACTCACACATTGAGAAAGAGGTGATATAAAGAGCTGTGTGAATGTGGAAAGTCATAGAGAATGGAGACCGTAGATCTGAGACCCCAGGGGAAACAGTTTCTGGGGCTTCTTCTCCAACCAGGCAAAGGCTAAGCATGACTGTCCAGCAGGAGAAAGGTGACAGCACATTCCTCGGATGAGCAGGGAGTCCATCCAAGAGTGGAAAACCCCCAGTCAGTGTTAGATCACAGCAAATCCGATACATAACACTCATCCAGGAATGGTCACACGTCTGTGAAGCACAGAGCCTTGCGAGTCAGAGAGGTGGCTGAGTTGGAGGAGGGGCCCTGGCTAGATCTATGACCGTTTTATTTCTGCCATCTGAGCATACCTCATGAAATGATGAAGAATTAAGTAAAGAAAAATGTCAAAACCAGAATTACGTGGAAGCAGGAACATTCTCCCTCTTACCTCTCCTTTGCAAGTTAATGAGCCATGAGTAGCAAGTTTCAAAGTAGCAAAACTGATATACTGACATGAATGATGCATTTTCTTGGAAAACTGAAAAGTCCTATTGCTGATGTCGCAATATTACTAAAGACAGGTCAGGGGATTAAATCCCTGTGGAGTTTTTGCAGATGCAATGACTTTTTTATTCCCTTACTTTAATACTGAGGCTTCATTGTAGCATTAACTTTCCTCAAGTTTATCTCGTTCTCTTACACATTTAAAGCAAAGGATTAATCAATATCTTTATATCCGACAAAGCATCTGGCTTCAATGTGACTTCTCTTTTCCTGGGCAACCATCATATGTGGGGACGTGAAGTCCATTATTACAGTCTCACAGCTAAGGTATAAGTCCGCAGATCTCAGGTACCAAATCCCACATTCTTATTCCATCCCCCAGAGAAGGCAATGCCATCTTGGATCATACATATACAGTCAGTCTAACCTTCCTTCTTCAGTCAGCAGACTCTTGCTCAGCAATTAGCAGAGGACAAAAGCCTGCGAAGTTGATGCAGTGTCACTGCTATAAGCAGTCTCGGTGCCTCCCACGGAATTGCCTCTTTCCTTCAGTCGTGTGTGACTGCTCTGATGTGGAACTGATATTCCTCCGCTTGTCGTTTCCTTCCTACCTTGTTCTTCTGGCAGCATCTTGCACACACAATTTCCCCTCCCCTCCCCCTCCCCCTTTCAGTTTGACCCTAGCTTGAGGGTATTCCTTTAGACTTGACAACTCGTCACTGAACTAATTTAGGTCCCTACTGGTTATCTGTACTTTCTATTTGAGAGTTAAACTATGTGGCCATCTTGTGACAGGATAACTCATGGGCAGGTGCAATAGGGCTGGGAGCCTGGAAACATTGGACAAGGGAAGACATTCAGGCAGCAAATTATAGCCAGTGTGCAGTGGCTTCTAATAAACACTTGTTAAATGCTTATATTTGTTTCCAATTATAAACATTCTAGAAACAGCTAATTTACCAATTAGAAGGGGTGTCTCTCCTTTGTCATTTTTGTTGTTAGGCCAGACCCCCTTTTCTAGCAGCGTCTTGACATTTTCCACCAGATCAGCTTTGACTGCCAAAGTCAAGGGTGTTTCTCCATCACAGGTCTTGAATTCCCAGACTGTCTTATAGGATGCTGAGATGTGAAAGCATTTTGTTGAAAAGTTAAGAAACATATCTGCTTATGTGATTTTATTTAAATTAGAACTACCTAATATTATACATGTAATATTGAGCAAAGTAATTAATATAAATGTACGGATAAGAGAATATACAATAAAAAAAATTCCAAATACAGCAAAGAGTAGCAGGCACACACAGACTTGCTAATCCAGTTCAAAGCTAGGAAACTAACACCAATGCTTCAACAAGTTTTTCCTTAAAACAGGTTACTTATTCTCATTTCTGAATACATTGTAAATTAACTCTCCAAATTGTACATGAGATTGGTTTTGGCACATGAATGTAAATGAGAAACACATTTGAATGGACAGCTCATTGTGTTATAGAAGAAATATCATCAGTGCTATCTATATCTGTTAGTCTGGTCATCTAATTCTCTAATTGGCTAGATAATTATCAAATACTTCTTATCTCTCAAAGTGCAAAACTAGGAAGCAACACTGAAGCTTACATGGTAAGACATTCTTATATGTTCTATAAAATGCTGAGATGTGAAAAAACACTTAAAACACAATGTGTTGATTTATCACAGTGATGTTTTACACTATGAAAAGATTAATGTAATATAAAGACAATTGTATCACTTTTTATAATATATGTATAGATATATAATATATGTTCTTTTGGAAACTATATCAAGAATAGTTGAAGGTGAAATATTTTAAATTAACTCTTAGAAATCTTTTGCTTTTTGTTTCTCTATTAATATGCATGTCTGTGTATGCATGCTAATACATGTGAGTATATGTCACATATGTTCTTCTGCTCAGGCCGGAAGAGAGTGTTGGATCCCCTAGAGCTGGAGTTACAGGTGTTTGTGAGATGCCTGGTATGGATGCTGGGAACCACACTCTGAAAGAGTAGCGAGTGCTCTTAACTGCAGATCCATCTCTCTAGTCCCTCAAATTCACTTAAAAAAAAAAAAAACAAACAAACAAAAAAAAAAAAAACACTTCCTATTTTAGTCACCTGGTTTGTGATTTATCAACCCAGGTGGCAACACCGCCTTTCCACCATCCTGTACAACATTCTTAGGTGAATGGATACAAAAGCTGAATTGCAGATGCCACACATTGTGCTGGTCTTTTGGGTTTTTTTTTGTTCTGCTTTTTATTTTTGCTTGTTATGTTCATGTGGAACTCCCCTTTTCTCTGGCTTTGCCCAAAGGTTATCATAATTCCTTACCATCCAGAACAGTCTCGAGTATCTGCTGAATGGGCTGAACAACAGCCTCGTGCAGTGGGAACCAGCCTTTCTCATCAGCTTCATCCAGAGCGTATTTATATTGTACATACTCCTGGAGCTCAAAAATGTGACCTGCGTGAAATGCGTGGACTTGTTACACACTGGCCCTCACAAGGTGAACGTTCAGTTCCTTCTCTTTGTAGATCACATGCCTACTCACCTTGCCTTATGGCTTCTACAAGCTTTCGGTTTTGATCACTTAGTGGTACCAGTCTAGCAGAGAAAAAACAAACAAACCAATCAATCCAGACATATTTGTACTGGTGATGTATTTTTAAGGATCTGAACAATATACTTGAGTTTTTGTAAATATCTGTCATAATCGAAATTTGTAAGAAAATCATATAGCTGATTTTCTCCACCTTAAAATTTCCCAAGAGTCAGACAGAGAGTATACTAGTGAAGAGAGCAAATACAAGAGGGTTGGGGAGATCTCTCTCAACAATCGAAATGGAATAAATGGCTAGAGTCAAAGTCAAGGGTTTGGGTGCAGGCCTGACTTCTTGGCCTTGGGAAAATCCGATAGTCTTTCTGGGTGTTGGTTTCTTCATCTGGGTGGGGTTAAATAGGGATATTGCTAAGACTCCTTCCTCCAACTTTCAAAATTGTGTGCTCACTAAATGATACTTGGCTCTTAGTAATTGCTGAGAGACACTTGGGAGTTTATGGTCCATGAGCATATTAGAAGTATTTAATCAATTGATCAGTATGTAGTACATTTACTAAATATACTCCTGGTGGGTGGCCCAGTGGTCAGGAGTTAATGGCAATTATCTGACACACGTGCTTCTTAAATGGAAACAGGCTCTTCATAACAAAGGTTAGGCAGAAACATCTGCTAACATTGTAGGGTAGTAAATACCTGGTGGGAGCTCTGAGGTTCTAGATTCTCTCAGAGGTTTCAGTCAAACACCAGAGCCTTTATGTAGCATGCACATGCTTAAAAGTTAAAAGATTTCTACAATCTGAAGAGAGACCAGAGTCTTACAAGTTCACTTTCAAAAGTTCAAGAGCAGAAGAGTCAGAGAACTAGTTAGCTGGTCAAGTGCTTCCTGCAGAGGTGTAAGGACCTTAGTCCTGATCCCTAAGCACATGCCTGGCGTCCCAGCAGTAGGGGTGGAGATGGAGACAGGAGGATACCTGGGGCTTGCCTAGCTAGGCAGGCTGGCCGAATTCCAGGTTCACTCTTTCAAAGAGAAAGGCAAGGGAAAGCCACTCAGTACTGACCTCTGCCCTCGGAGGTATGTGCACCTGAGCTCATGTGCGAGCATGAATTTGCATGCTTGAACACACACACAAGTACACTGCACACACATAGCTCAAAAGCAGCAATTTCATAGCAATGAGTACAAGCAATACTAAGTTCCAGAGTATAAAGTCTTAGTGTGAAAATAGAATGTAAAGGTAACCTAAGGTCTATTTTTTTTTTTTTACATTATGTGTCAAGAATAGCAGGTACTAATTTTTGCAGTTTAAGATTCTATTGTTCCTACGTTTGTAGCATCAATTTCATAATGTGTCTACTCACAAAGGTTAGCTGGCAAGGTGGCAAGATGTGCTACATACAAACTCCTGTTTATTTTACATTGTCTTCACAAATTTGTTCAAACTCTACTCATCATCCTTCTTAACTCCACATTAATTTAGAATACAGGCAATCTCCAAAAAAATTCAGCTAAGGAGTTTCCCACTTGGGAAATTTCCATTTTCTACATGAGATTAGATTGTTAAAATATGTGCAAAGTTGACATTTTGAAGTTGTTAGACTTCATACCAGAAAAAAGAGTATGTGTGTTATGGGGGGGAAAGCAAGCATTTTTATAGAGGAGGTGTGAGTCTTATAGCAAAATGACTGCCACAAAGAAATCTGTTGAGGGTAGTTGGTTAGAATGCTACCTTTCAGGATGGACTACAGCTTGGCTTGCTTCAATGGACTCCTGAATACAGAGCTGAATGTCATAACTTGCAAGATGGTCTTCATTAGGGTCATCATTAATATCCATATCTGCAAATAAGTTTGAAAGAGGTGATTTTCCTATTCTCAGCAAGGGATTCAGGACAATAGGTGCAATTAACGTCACAAATGCAAAATGAAAAGCAGAATTCATTCACCTCTCCTTGGTACATACATACAAATAGCTGAGATCTCAACCATGTATGTGCAAACTCCATCTCATTCACTTCAAATGTTCTGTTGAAACCTTTAATTGTCTGTCTCTTGAATGTCTGGGTCTTTGAACTTTGATTTTCCAGCACTATCTGCAGAAGGGCTTGTTGTCTTTTCAAGTTTCTAATGGATACTAGTGCTCAGGCCCATCAATTTACACAGCACATTAGAACCTTAGACCTCAATTGGAGGAGAAGGGGTCCATCAACAGTGATCCTCTCGTATTCCCTACCATCCTCACATGTCAGGTCTGCTGCTCTCAGATCAATTGCACACTTGAGATGAGGGTCATCTTAATGTCAGTTATTGACCAGGGCTTCTGCAGATGCCCCATTAATTCCCCTAATCATGTCTGTCCACTTATCACAAGCCACTGCTTTTGGCTAGTCTGACTCCCCTGAGGATAATATGTAAAAAATGGAAAGACAGAAGGCTCCCTGGTTTATTGCTTTAAATATCAAATTAGAAGAGTAACTTTCTATCTTTAATGTTAAGTCAGCTCTTGCGGTTCAGGCACGATGTTTAGTAAGTATAGAAGCTGAAAACAGTCTGACTGTGATGTGACTAAGCAATATGAAATTATCATTAGTTAGCAGTATTCCCAAGCCCAGTGCATTCCTTCTGACATTTGACACGGCACTGTGCCTTTTTGAGGGGAGAAACAGAAACAAAGTTCTGCAAGCAATTTCCAGACACAGTTGCATCTGCTGTGTGTCTTCTCAGTCAAGGTCACATAATCTTGACAGACAGCTTTAGAGGTGCTAACAGCCAAGGTCCCTGGCCTCTGGACAGACTGCACAGAAACTTTGGCATTGTGAGGATTTTGTTCTTCATTTTTCTGTACAGAGCCTCTCCTGGTGGTATGCCCTCTGCGGTCCCAGCACTCAGGAGGCTGAGATAGGATGGCCTTACGTTTCAGTACAGCCTAAGCTGCAGTAATAAGACCTCATCTCAAAACAACAACTAAAATACCACCAACAGCACCAACACATTGTTTTGTATAAGGAGCCTTACAACTGTTTTAGAACAGAGACATAAACTGTGATGCTATGAGACTGAATGAGAGATTGTCCATGCCCGACTGAGCATGCTCCCTAACACTGGCATAGTTGTGACCTCATAGGTCAGTGTGCATATCTGGGATCTTCCTTGCCAAATCCATTCAAATGGTATTTATTTATTCATTCATTCATTTTAAGCTGGTCCATTGTCTCTTGTCTATAGACTGACTATAAAAGATCAGAGAACTAGGATAGCACATCTTCATGGTCTGGGGTCTTTATATGTGCCTTGGATGATAAATGATGGAGCTAATAAATGAATGAGGAGTCACTGAGTTCTTCCCTGTTCTTACTTACAAATGACCATTTCTCTCAGGAATGCAGTTTTTTTTTTTTCCCAACTGAACAAATTGGCTGCTGACTCCATATCTGCTTCATTTTCCTCTGGTCTGTGTTTTTACATCTGTTTGTTTCTTCACAAGGCTGTCCCAGCTGCTCTTCATCCTGGCCCCCACTGCCTCAAGCCTGGCACGGGAAGCTGCCCCTTAGAGCCGCCCTTTGCTGGAATTCCCCACCTCCTCTCTCACCCTCTTTCTGTGAATATTTCTTCTTATGTAACGTTGCCTGTCACTTGAATTTGCACGCGTTGCATATCTGCTTTGAAAATTCTGCACACGTTTGTGTTTTTGTTCTCACTGGACTATTACTTTCCTGAGAGAGAGAGAGAGAGAGAGAGAGAGAGAGAGAGAGAGAGAGAGAGAGAGAATACCTATCTGGCAATGCTAGTGACCCAGGGTGTCACACATGCTAGGCTAGTACTGAACCACACCCTAGGCTACGTTCCACCGTTTCCCTAGGCCACAGGCCATGGTTTCTCTTTTACAGAGTTTTCTTCATTATTCCCACTCCTAATTTATTCTGCTCTTCTAAGTGACAAATGACTTTTCAGTAGGGGGACAGAAGTTCTTGGCTCATTTCCAACAAGTATGCAGTGAGTTCTTCAGATAACACAATTAGATGACACAGTTAAGCCTTGCACGATGCTGCCTTTTTTGCTAATGTAACTGTTTAGAGATGGGGCTTGGGTGGTCACCAGATCAGTATGGGATGGAGAGCCTCTCTCACTTGTTCAAATACTCAGGCATGAAACACTGTATGCCCTCGAGCCCAGGTTGTCAGAGCCGTTTGGAGCAAGGCTCTCTACACTTCGAGGATGGAGCTTGTCTGTGAAATGGCTTCCCAACATTTTTCAATAGTCTTTTAACTATCATCAAGAGTGATGTTATCTGCCAGGCCTAGTACTCTGGAGGCAGAGGCAGAAGGATCTTTGTGAGTTCGAGGCCAGCTTGGTCTTTAGAGCCAGTTCTATGCTAGTCAGGGTTATACAGAGAAACCCTGTCTAGAAAAACCAAAATGGAAAAAAAAGGCGGCGGTGGAAGATGCTACCAATACTTTTGGTTGTTCTACAGCCATAATAATAATAATAATAATAAAAACCTGATGAAATTACAGGAAAACTGTGATAGAACACCTCCAACCTACTAGCTGTCTCCAGCAGAGCTGACAATTTAGACGACAGTTAGTTCTGTAGAGGTGAAGTCAGAGTGTCCCTGAAGGGGTGCGTTGGGATAGTCTGGAGGTATTAAGGAACAATGAGAAGGGCAGGCCCAGAGTGGTTGATCTGTATTGAAAACTTGAAATGAGGAGGAAGACAGATCAATTAGAAATCATTGAAGAAAGAGCTTCTCAAGTATGAAGAAAGGCCAGATAGCATTTTGGCATCCAGTGCCTCACTTCTCAGTCTAGTCTAGAGAAATGACTTGGTCCTCTTTTAAGAACAATGTGTCATAGTGCACTTAATTTTCTTCCGGAAAAGCCAATAGTGGGAGTACCTGCTCCCCCCACTCTTGTGCGCACACGTGTGTGTGTGTGTGTGTGTGTGTGTGTGTGTGTGTGTGTGTGTAGGCCAGCAATCAAAGATGGTTGCTTCTTCTATGGCTCTCACATTATTTTTGCGAGACCCTCTCACTAAACCTGGGGCTCACATTCTCACATAGACTGGCTGGCCATGGAGCCCTCAAGATCCAGATCCCTCTTCTTCAGCACCGAGGCTACAGATGTTCACCACGGTGCTTGGTGTTTGATATGGGTGCTGGGGATCTGAATTCAGTTCCTCACACTTGCTCAGCAGGCACTAACCTACCCATCAATTTCCCAGCCCAATTGTTAAGGAACTTTTATGTAAATTGATTTCATTTAAAACACTGGTTAAACTTGCTAAGAGCAGAAATACATTTAGTGGCAAGTTATGTACTCCCTCTCTCTGAAGGGAGGACATGCAGCTTTGAATGTAAAGATATCTCATGAACACTCCGAAGACTTTTTAAGTTTTAGATAGCAAAACAAGCACACAAAGAACAGCTAAATTCCAGGTTTTTAAATGCTAAGTCTCAAATGTTTAGTTAAGATTTAAATGGCTATTAATTTTTTTACAGATGGGCTGAGTTGAACCCCAATTGAGATGGAGAGAAAAGGAAAGTTCGGTGACTATGAAAATTGTAGAGTATATTTGGAAAGAATAAGGGTAGTGAAAGTAACATAAGCCATAAATCATGGAGGCCTGGATTGGTCTCAAGAACCTTGCTTGGGGCTGGAGAGATGGCTCAGCAGTTAAGAGAACTGGCTGCTCTTCCAGAGGATCAGTGTTCAATTCCCAGCACCCACACGAGCAGTTCACAGCTGTCTGTAACTCTAGTTCGAGGTGATCCGATACCCTCACACAGACATATATGTGGGCAAACACAGATACACATAAAATAAAAATTAACGAATTATAAAAAGAGAAAAAAGCACTCTGCGTACACGCCTGTTTTCAGTCCTTTACTCTAATTGTATGTGGAAGGCAATTACGGATCATTGCTGAGAAGTGGAAGTTGAGCCTTAATCCACTTAAACTGTCTCAGATGATAACCGCCTGAGTAGAGCAAGGAGAACATGCTCTTCAAGGCCTTCAGAAGCTGCAGTCTGTTGTCTTTGACGAAAACACTTTGATCCTGTTCTTAACAGTCAGCACTTGGTGACAATAACTTCCAAAAATAAACACTAGCTCCCAAAGTCATGTAAATCCCTTCCTTTGGCTCTGTGCAGGGAGGTTTTGTGTTGCATAGGGTGGTCTGAGGTTTCCTAAGCTTGTCTTCACTCCATACTTTTTGTTTTGGAGTCTAAAAATCATTGTTCAAAGTAAATAAATAAATAAATAAATAAATAAATAAATAAATAAAAAATAAATAAAAATCGTCATGCCGGTTGGTGCCTGACTGAAGTGGTCAGGAGGTTGGGATGGTGTTGCAAGGCATGATTCAGGAGAGAGCACCAGGGCATGGTGTCTCCTGTCCTACAACTGCACTGATGCCTTACTGTGCAGGTGGTTGGTAGGTTCGTGACACCCATCAGAGCATTCCTTGGATTGTGCTAGGTCCTGTGTCATGAAATGATTGTTTTCCATTCCCCGATAATGAGGATAAAAACAATCTCATTTTTCATGAATTATTTTCTAGGCTCACTCCTGGTTACATCCCAGTCTGTTGCCCCATCTGCCATGACTCCGTCTTGTGCGTAACAAGACAAAATCCTCTCTATCAGTCAATAACAAGGGTGATGTGGGAATCAGCTCAGTGGACAGTTGCTTCCATGATGCAAGGAAAAGCTCCATATCCATCAATATCATACTGCTCTCAACACCTGTCAATATCATTGTGTCACATTAGTGAGAGACTCTGTCCTGCAAGGGACAGTGTCCTTCTTCCAGTATCCTTTCGAAAATGCCAGTAGCAGCTG